GTTGTACTTCCTTCGCCAGCTGAGGAAATTCAACCTGTCACAGGAGCTGCTGAAACAGTTCTACTCTGCAATCATTGAGTCTGTCCTGTGTTCATCCATCACTGTCTGGTTTGGTTCAGCTACAAAATCAGACATCAAGAGACTACAACGGACAGTCAGGACTGCTGAGGGGATCATCGATCCCCAGCCTCCAAGATCTTTACATATCCAGAGTGAGGTAAAGGGCTAAGAAAATCACCTTGGACCCCTCACACCCAGCCCACTCTCTCTTCAAACTGTTGCCTTCTGGTCGACGCTACAGAGCACTGACCACCAGAACAGCCAGGCACAAGAACAGTTTTTTCCTGCAGGCTATATTCAGCCTGAACAATTAAACCTTCATAATTATACATCGTCCATCACAACTGACATATTTATACACAGAATCCAAAATTTATACACTTGTAAACTGCACACTTTGTAAATAACATATCTGCACACTTATAACTTATAGTACATTATTTAATTTCTGTTTTTTTTTTTTTCTTATATTAGTGTTATATTCCATCCCTACTGTGTCATTCCTATGTATCATGTATGTCTGCTCTATGTCTGTACTTTCTTCTGCACTGGAAGCTCCTGTCGTCAAATCAAATTCCTTGTGTGTGTAAACATACTTGGTAATAAAGCTCTTCTGATTCTGATTCTGCATGGAAAATCCAGTTTCCCCTTGTTTCCACTGTGCTGCATGGGAATTCCCTATTTAGCCTTTACAGTCTAAGTACACTTGACTAATGCCAAGTTGTTAGGAGCTCTAAAATCTCAGTTGCTGGACTTTAGTCTGTTACTTTAGTGCTTTTCCTGTGCTTTTCCTTGCTGCTTGACACCCATAGTATGTTATTGTAAAAACTAACTAGCAACGTTAATGATGTCATGTGCAGAAGGTGGAGTAATGACTTTACTAATACATTGATTTGAGATCTCCGAGATGCTGCTAGAACAAACAGGGTAGCTGATGACTTCATTATTTTTTTGTTCCTTGTCGTTTGACTTTATTTGATGTCAGGTTCTAAAAAAATATTAAGCAGCACAACAGTTTCAACACTGATAATAAATCAGCATATTACAATGATTTCTGAAGGATCATGTGACACTGAAGACTATGTTAACGGCTTATGAAAATTCAGCGCTGCATCACAGAAAGAAATTATATTTGAAACTATACTAAAATAGGAAAACAATATTAGAAATTGCAATAATATTTCACAATATTTTTTTGTATTTTTGATCAAATAAATACAGCCTTGATGAGCATATAAGAGACTCAAGCAAACAAAACAAATCTTACTGATCCCAAACTTTTGAACGGCAGTGCATCTAGTTTTCAACACTGATTAAGACTAAATTGAAACTACAGAATGGTTTCATACTGACTGTGAATGTAATTTATTGAGGAAAATCTGATGGGGTTGACATCATATGGTGTATCACGCATGTACAGCTATGAAATGTGTGTGTGTACATATATATTACTCTCCTAATATCCCTGATATGAAAAGACACAGAAATTATTTTTCAGTATTTATTTTTATTGAAGTAAAATTGTCTTTCTCATATGGTTCCGTTTGCTTTCTCACTGATGCAGGCAACTCAATGACCTTCACTTCAAAGCATCAATTTTTCAATTCCTTTCTTCCCAATCAATCAATGTTGTTTTCCATTAGCTCTTGCACTGACTGCAGTACATGCTTCTCGATGGTTTTCTGCTTCTCTCTTTTAAACTCTGACATCCTTCTTTTTTTGCATTTTTTTCTGTAACTACGGTAATACAGGTGCATCTCAATAAATTAGAATGTTGTGGAAAAGTTCATTTATTTCAGTAATTCAACTCAAATTGTGAAACTCGTGTATTAAATAAATTCAATGCACACAGACTGAAGTAGTTTAAGTCTTTGGTTCTTTTAATTGTGAGTTGCTTCAGGTACCTTTTATGTTGCTCTCTTCGTCTCTCGTGATCTGTTCTCTGCTACTGTTTTCTCTTTGGCAAAGTTATTCAGTCCACTTTCTAGCTTATATATGAACCACCCACATAGACAGGAGGAAAATGTCAGACCATTTTGTAAAACGACAACCACAAATTTGTTTCATTTTTATGGGCAGATTTAAACAATATATAAAGAGTATGATTTTGAATGCAGAACATCAGTTGTTTTCACATGGCAGACTAACTGTTTAGTTTATGGGGTGGTATTTTATTCATCTGATCACCGTGTTGTTTTTCTGTGTCCCTCTGTGCAGTTTGGAGGTGGAGAATGGCCCCTCTATCGGCTGTAGTCCACTGGACCTGCAGGCCTCACCGGGCTCTGGTTTGGTTCTTCATCCCAACATGGCCAGTCACGGTCAAAGGCGGGAGTCTTTCCTTTACCGCTCAGACAGCGACTACGACCTCTCTCCCAAATCCACCTCTCGCAACTCTTCGCTTGTTGGAGAGCAGCTGTGAGTAAGAACTTTTACACCTTTACCGACATTACAATGCTGGTACAATAAATCAAAAGTGCTCAGTCCTGCTGCAAATCACAGTTTGTTGAAAATAGCAAGCCAAGGGTGATGTGTTTTTTTTCAAGTGAATTATCCATGTGTATCCATGCATGCTTTTCGTTTCATTTTAGCCAGACCCCAATGGAATTAGTGGAGCTTGTGATTGAAACTTTTTCAGTTGAGGAAAGTGGTGGGAAATACTATAGATGCATGAATAAATAAACATCCTAATGAAATGATATAAATGTCAATGATTTTTCACAAATTTGTTTGTTTTACTATTTATTTAATATTGTGTATATATATATATATATATATATATATATATATATATATATACACACACACCAAATGTTGATTTGTTTTAGTTAATAGAAGTTAATTTAGAAACAAAATCAATTTATGACATTATTTTTGAAAGTATCCTCACTTTACAGCATATTCACACATGTACCTAAAACTCTTGACAGTATTGTAGCTTTGTAGGTAGGTTTCTTTAAGCATTTCCACAGTTCTTCTGGATTTAGTCTGTGTCAGTTTTTTGTTTCTTCATGTAATCCCAGATGGATCATATTTTTGTTGGTGAAAATACTAATGGCACAGTAGTGTGTGTATACTTGTATATATACAGTACATTTATTTATTTGTTTGTTTGTTTATTTAATTGTATTTTGTTGCTTTGTTTGTTATTTATTTGTTTACTTATTTTAGTTTTTATTTGTTTTATACAGTATTTATTTTAATATTTATTTGTGTTTATTATTAGTTTATTGCTTTTTATTTAATTTAGTTTTATTTTATTTTTACATGTTTCATGTTTTAATTATTCATGAGGGAGGCCCACTAAACATGTCTTTAGGCATCCGTTGATATGTACAAATGAAATCAGAATTAAATTTTTAAAAAAAATTTGTTAAAAATGTATTTATTAATAATTTCTTGCCTTAGCAGGGCACTTATTTATTCGTTAACATTTCGCCTTTTGAAATGTTTATTTATTAGTCTATTTATTTTTAATTTAAGTAGATTTACAGTGATAGGATATAGGAAGTTTGGAATTTTTTAGTCAGGTTTTAGGACATCTATGAGAACTCTATGAGCAGAAGGAAGGCTCTGAAACTTTATCTGCTGTTAACTTACAGTGTGCTTTGTTTATGACTTGATCTCATAGTACATAATATTTGTTTTTTATTTTCTCATAATTTTTTGAGGTCTTTGCCTCCTCGGCGAATTCTTCACAGTTCTTGACAAATTGCTTCACAGTCTAACATAACTTCCAGCAGAGTTTAGCTCAATCAGTGCACACCTGATTCAGTAAATCAAGGTCTTCAGGTTCACCAGACACCTACAGGCAGCTGTGTTTGAACAGGTTTGACACTAAACTCTGCAGTAAACCCTATCTCCACCAACAGGACTGAGCACTTCTGCAATAAATCATTCAACTCTTTGCAGCTGCGGTACATACAGGAGAGAACTACAGAAGCAATGCAGAAATAATGCATAACAAATCCTATTTAAACCTGAGAGATAGTCTGGTCACGAGATATTGCTCAGTATATTGACAAGAAGTAACATGAAGTGCATGAACTAAAGAACTAGCCCAATGATTATCGGAATTTTGGTTTTGTATTATGCATGATTTTTGTGTTGTTTCTTTCTTTTTTGGTTCTCAGACATGGTGAAGACCTGATTGTCACTCCTTTTGCTCAGGTACATTTTGCGCTTGCTTTCTGGATTGGAAAACTAAGACCAAAATGTGAATAATTTGACATGTGTGGACTGTTTCAAGTCCTTTCACGTCTTCGTTGCTGTCTTTTTGTTCAATAGGTGCTTGCAAGTCTTCGCACTGTTAGGAACAATTTCAGCATCCTGACAAATGTCCAGTGTCCCTCTAAGTAAGTGATATTTACATTTGTTTCATATAATGTAATGTGAGAAAATACCACAAGAGGGCAGGAATCACTTAATATGATTTTTTGTCAGACTAGATGGATACTACATTAACCTACTGTACTGACCTTCCTCCTTATAATGATAATGGTAAATGTGTATTGATTAATTTTTTTTATTTGCTTGGTCATTGTAACAAAATATACAGATACTTTGACTTTATTAAAAAAATGAAAAATAAATGTTGCTCATAAGTTATTCAGCAAACATAAGTCTAGTGTGCTCAGTTGGTGATTGAATTATCAGTTTCTATTCAATTTAAATTCCTGCTTTCGTCTTATTAATGTGTTTTTTTTCGTGCTTCACTTAACAGAAGATCACCAGTCAGCAGTCAACCACCAGTGACCAAAGCCAACCTGTCAGGTAAGATCCTCACAGACGTTAAACTGAGGAAAGTTCCCTTACAATGGTGATTAACCTCAATGTGGCATCAGTCAGTAATTACAAAGCTGCAGACCTATAGCTGAATTACTCATGCATCATACAGCATCATGAAGGGGATACTATGATCTGCGTTATGAATAAATATGAAACGACAAACAAGTTATTATCTAAATTGAGAGAAGGACTGGGGAAAAGGGAAATCTTAGTGGAGGATGTGAAATGTGTCAAGTCTTGTAAAGGCTGTCAAGAACCGTTTCATATTTCACCCCAAAATAGAAAAAAGTCAATTAAATTAAAATTATTTTGTTAATAAAATCGGTATTTAAGACAATTTCAGTTTTATTTTCCCTGTATTTGGGCAGGACATATCGGAAAAACCCAATAAATGAATAAATGGATACTTTTAAACAGGGCCAGAGTGGGGCCTATTTTCAGCCCAGGAGTTTAGTGCCGAAGATCATATGTTTACTCAAATGTTTTAAGGAATATACAAATAAATTACAAATGACATGCTAAACTTCTTAAAGGGGTCCTATTATGCTCTTTTACAAAGTCTTGATTTTGTTTTGGGGGTGTACTAGAACATGCTCTCATACTAGGTTGTTCGAAAAACACATTATTTTTCACATATTTTACATTATTACAACACCTCTCTCCCCAGTCTGGCATGAACGGCTCGAATAGTTCCTGTATCAAATGAAGGCCCGCCTTCTGAAATACGAAATGTGCTGTGATTGGTTAGCTGGGCCAGTGTGTGCTGTGATTGGTTAGTTCAAATGCACTCAAATGCAATAAATGCTATTATAATAGATAAACACTTAATAATAATACATTCGTTAAATAGATTTTTATAAGCATAATTTTCATAACACAAAATATAATTTCTAATTTTTCTTTCTATTTTGGGATGAAATATGAGCCAGCATGTTTTTGTGAAATTAAGCAGCAGGTGTTGTTGGTCTCTTGTGCATGATTTAAAGACTCCTCAGCACCATTTGTACGATGGCCACCACAACTCTCTCCATCTGAGCAGCCTGAAAATCCCAGCCTCTTTGAAGAAAAGAGAAATGAGGGTGTGAGGGTGAGTGTGGGTGTGGGTGGAGGGGGGAAAATGAAAGCTTGAGTAAGATAACATGTTTGTATGACCTCTTACACACACATACACACACACACAAACCACAAAGACGCAATGTGCGTAAATGCAGCACAGCGACGCATATAAAAAGCTGTGTTTATTGCATGCATGTGTGTGTGCGTTTGTGCGGGTGTGAATAGTCATGCGTGCGTAAGCATGCATCCTTAAAAAGAGCAGGATTGTGTGCGACACAGCTCTGTGCTTAATATTCATGAATGTGTTCAGAGGTTTGTGTGAGAATTTACAAGTTGGCAAACCTTGTTAAATCTGTTATGAACCCTGTCCAGGTCATATTTCACCGCAAAATGAAAAGAAAAAAAAATACAAAATTAAATATTTTATATGTATTATTTAAATAAATCAATTAAAATCATTATGATCAAGGGTTGAATTAGGAATTGTATATTTTTTTATTTGCTGGAGAAAAAAACAACCACATATATGAATACACAAAAACACACAGATACAGCCTTTTAATAAACCATCCAAAATTTCTACTGCATCCCAGCTAATAAAAATACGTTTTGTAGACATTCCCATTAGTTCTGAAAACATTATTTCTGAATGTTTTTTAAACGTTGAGTTTTTTTTAATGTATTAAGAATGTTACTTCTTGATTATGTTAAGGTTAGAGGAACATTTAAAACACCCATTTTTTATATTTAAGAAAAGTTTTTCTTGGTAATGTGAACGTTAGAGGAACAATCCGTTTAAAGGTTAGAAAACATCAGTTTTTTTATGTAATATAAACGTTACTTCTTGGTTATGTGAACATTAGAGGAACATTACATTCCATCATTTTGAAATTGTACTGAGAATGATAAATCAGCATTAGGTTCCCTGTTAGCTGATCCTTCTAATGATTAAATTATTTTCTGAGAATAATGTCGTCAAATTTGATGCCATTTTATTTTGTCATTTCACTGGAACTGAAAAAAGGAACACTGTTTCAGATTGTTTCGTTCCAGCTGTTCAACATGGTAGTATTTGTACACGTAAACTTATACTAAAAATTAAAAATGAATCTGAATCTGATGAGAATTGAACAAAATTGAGAATAATGGGAATAACAAAAGCAACTAAAAAGTAAAGCAATCTCATTATAGTGAGTAGAATTTGGAGGTAAATGTGAAAATATGAAAATAATATCACAATTCAAAAAACCTTAAAAATAGGTTTTTATGCAAAATTTCTTTATTCTTTTTTATTTTGATTTCTGAGGCCTAGACATGTTTTCGCAAGATTTTTGTGAGTGGTTTTCGGTTTATGCTGAGAGGGGAAAAAAACCATGCTTGTGTAGTGAATGTGCCTGGGTGAAAGACGAGACGTCCCATTTTGGTGTCAGAATCAAATTTACAAATTTTATATACATAAAAAGCCTATTAAATGCAAGTAAAGTGTGTATTTTTACTTTAACAACTTCTGTGAAAATAAAATGTCACAATATGGGTGAATGACTCCACTGTCATTCATCTTAACAGATATATGTATCGAAAAATATGTATTCTGACCTGTACCTATTAAAATATATAAGAGAATAAGTGATACAAAACTAAAGCCGTTTGAAACACTTATCTTCGCCTTTGACCTGAGCTGTGTGTGTGTGTGTGTGTGTGTGTGTGTGTGTGTGTGTGTGTGTGTGTGTGTGTGTGTGTGTGTGTGTGTGTGTGTGTGAGTGTGTGTGTGTGAGGGTGTGTGTGTGTGTGTGTGTATGCGTGTGTGTGTGCGTGTGTGTGTATGCTTGTGTGTGTGTGCATGTGTGTGTGTGTGTGTGTGTGCATGTTTATGTGGTGTATGAGGACACAAATTTGTATAATAACATGGGTATGACAGGTATTACAACGAGAAGGTGATTTATGAGGACATTTTCAGTGTCCCCGTAATTCAAAAGGCTTATAAATAATTCAGAATGAGTTTTTTTGAAAATCTAAAAATGCAGAAAGTTTCCTGTAAGGGGTAGGTTTAGTTGTAGGGTTGGTGTAGGACAATAGAAAATACGGTCTGTACAGTATAAAAACCATTACGCCTATGGAGAGTCCCCATAAACCATAAAAACAAACCTGTGTGTGTGTGTGTGTGTGTGTGTGTGTGTGTGTGCTCCAGGTGTAGAGGCTTTAGCCACTGATCTACAGAGCTGAGAGTTGCGAGGAGGGGGGCAAAGGATTGTGGGATGTTTTGGTTCCTGTTTCAGAGGCCTCTTAGCCTCATTGACGTCATCACCACCCACCTACTAGTACCTTCACTTCCTGTGTGTTTGAAAGCGCAGACGCCTCATGGTCCTGGCAGGAAGAAACACACACTCACGCGCTGAAAATGGTGGAAAACGGTGCTCGCTTACGTTGCACAAGCATATCAAGAGCGCCGGAGGAAATTAGAGTATGTGTGATGTTGCGCACGCCGCTGTCCCTGCTGGCCGCTGCTGTGTGTAATAACACAGCTGAGGATGTGGCTGCTAGTTGATTAGAGGAGCTTCATTGCTTAATACTTTCACTGAAATGCTTTACTTTCACTTTTACTCCATTAGTTCTTACAGCAGCAGCAACTTATTAATTACTTAACACATACACATACATTAATAAATCAAGAGACATGAAATAAACCATTCAATTAAAGGGATAGTTCACCCAAAAGTAACATTCTGTCACCATCATTCCACACCCGTATGAATTTCTTTCTTCTGCTTATTCCAAAAGAAGATACTTTGAAAAATAATGATAACCAAACAGTTTTGGTTCCCATTGACTTCCATGGTATTTTTTGTTCATACAATGGGAACCAAAACTGTTTAGCTACCAATAACCTTTAAAATATCTACTTTTGTGTTCAGCAGAAAAGAACATACTGTAATCTGTTATTTATTAGCATGGCTGCTATTTATGTCTGTGGTCAGAAAAAAAATTTAAATGATATATATATATATATATATGTTTTACTTGACACTTAATTAAAAATATATATATATCACAAAAATACATTTGTTAGGTTTCAACTTAAAATACAATACATGTATGTAATACAATACTGTTTCAAATGAAGACTAATAGTATTATGGCACTTTCTGGATCATGTGCATAGTTAATGTGATTCTTTAGACACAAAAGGAGAACTGACTTCATACATCCACTAAATAACACCAACTGGTTAAAAGTTGCAAAACTGGCTAAAAAAACTCCAGAATTGTTTCTTTGCAGATTCTACGTTAGTTTGATATTTAGATATCTTTAAGTGTGATCTAATTATCCAAAAACTGTTTGATGCCGCTAGTTAGTTGAAGATAGTATGCAAGACTGGATGTGAATCAGTAAACAGTTTTTGTGGTTACCGGTGCTGATGCACAGACATTATTAGCGGTTTTAAACCATATTAGCAAGATTGCTGCAGATTTGCTTTTGTTCACATTCTGACGAGATGTTACAGGATGTGTAAACATCACATCCACGCCATGCACGCATGCTAGAGTACGTGTGTGTTTACATGTTTTTGCACGTAAGTCAGCTAGATTGTTTTGGGGCATGAAACCCTGGTGATAGAAGTTTTCAGTCAGCTGCAGCTGAACTTGTTTTTCATAATAATATTTGATAATAGTATTAATAATTATTTGCATTTATTACCAAACTATGCAAATGTAACTTCATTAACTATTACTGCTAAGTCCAAATCCATGAGAATTGTTATTATATTATATTATATTATAAAAAACATTCTCTGCCCCGATCTGTCCTCCTAGATGTTTTCTCACATTGCAAATCCAGTCCAGATTTTCTGTTCGCCCTGGCTGCAGAGCGGCAGTGCAGGTCTTAAAGCGTTGCACCCGGTTAGTATTTGAATTATGCCATTGACGTCA